TATATATATGTAGGAAATGAAGCCTCTAGAGTTTAATGATTGTTCATGCCAACTAATGACACCAAAGCCCAACCAAATGCCAACTAATTAACAATAAACTAATCATTAATTTTTTTAACAACCAATCAATCATTAATCAACCAATTAAGCATTAATTATTTTAACATAATTATATAACGCAGAATACGAAAGTTCATAAAAACCGGGTTTGTTCGGGAAACGAAACGACACATAATGGCTCGAAAGCTAGTCAAGCGGCAAACAACAAGACGACGTCTCTGGTAAGTATAACGAGACTTCGAAACGACAAAGTGGGACTCCGAAACTAGACGAATTTATCACAGCAACATTACAAGACACGACTTTACAAAATCGAGAGTTCTAATCGTTCACGATAGACATATATTCGAAATTCAATGAACGAACCGATAAATCAAACCGAACAATCAACGAGAAAATCGATTCACTGAACAAGGATAATAATCGAACAAATTCGACAAAGACAATAATGATGAGGAGGTTCAACCGATACCTTTCTTCTGGAATAGGCAAGCTCGGGGATAAACGGACCAAACAAACGGAACCCGGACGAGCGGATCGAAACTCCGAAACTCCTCGACAGCTCGGACTGAAACTCAGCGAATGGCTCGTGAACTGGACTACTGAGGGGTCGACGCCGACAAAGCTACTCGAAGGTGGGCTCGCCGGGGAAGAAGGTGGTCGCCGAAAACAATGGCCGATGGGGCTGTAGCAACGGGTCGGCGACGGCAGGAGGCTTCTCGGAGAACGTTTGCGAACGTCTGTCGATCGCGGGCTGCTCAGGAACGTGGTGATCGTGCGGCGAGGATGATAGTCGCTGGAAAAATGACGGGTCTTTTTGCCGGGAAAAAAGGTACGCGCCGAATTTTTTATTTTTGTTTAAAAAATGGGTTCTGAGCGAGGGAAAGTAGAGAAAAGCTTGGTACGCTCCTCAAAAATTGACCTCTTCTGACCGAGTTATAAGCGACGGGAAAACGTGTGGGGGAGTTTCTTACTGAAATACCGCAACTAGATTTCGAAGTGAGAAGAACGAGTCGTATGGGGAACCGTGGTCGCTGGGAGAAGGGAAAATATCCACTTAATTTAACTTTCTTGGGCCAAATTTTTAAGTTATCAACCAATCTAATATAACTCAATTTGGGCCAGAAATTTAATAACTAATAGGGTTGGAAAAATAAATCGATTTGGGCAAAAAAAATACAACGCGAAAGAATTCTCGATCGACTTATTATATTAATTAATTATATTACATCTAATTAAATAATAATAATAATAATAATAATAATAATAATAATAAGTCTGATCAGAACGATGTCGAGCAATAATACAATATAAACAATTAATTCAAATAATAATAATAATAATAATAATAATAATAATAATAATAATACTCGAAAAATCATAAATAAACAGGGCATTACAGGCAGTTACCTCCGACTGCTGGTTTCTCATCACATTTCAGAGCCATTATTGCGGTGTGCCAACATTAAGTTGGGTAACCAGATGACCAGTGTCTCTTTCCAGTATGAGAAGTTGGCTAGTTTCTATTTTTATTGTGGATTGGTGGGTCATCTGGAGAAGGATTGTTTAAAGAGGGTTAAGGATATTGAAGAGAGGAATGTGTCAGTTTGGTGAGTGGATGAAGGCAGTGCCTCCAGAAAGACAAGCAGGATCTCCCCAACAATTGGACCCTTCAAATACATCCAATGGCCAGAGCAGCCAACCCACTGATGGGGGGCAATTTTCCTCTACTAATGATACTGCAGCTGATGGTGAGGGAAATTTAGGTGTCTCAAATGAAGAATCTACATCGATTGGTTCAGGGAAGGGTGGTTCTTCTTCAGACTTCAGCTTATGTTGTCAATACAGGGCTCAACCCCAAGTCTCAGTTCTCAGGAAATATGCAAGAGGACCTCAGTATGGCTCTGTTTTTTGCCTCAAATACTATGGAGGATAAAAGGAGTGCTCAAGGTAAACAACTTGCTATCATTTCTAAAATGGATGAGGATACTCAGGGTGGGTTAAGGGTAAAGAGATAGTTGAACACCAACCAAATCTCACTAGGAAGAAGAATGTGTCAACCTGGAAAAGGTAGAGCTCATCTGCTGGTAGGCTTAAAAGAACAAAAGACGCCCAGATAACCAGAAGAGTGTGGTGATTGGCAAGAGATGTAGGCTTAAGCAAGACACTGAAGCAAGTGCTGAGCAAATTGATCAACCCAACAGCAAATCTGCCAAACTGTTAACTGATTCTGATAAGGTGGAGGTAGCCAGCCTGGAATAGCCCCACCCCCATCAATGACGACAATTTTGTGGAACTGTAGAGGTTTGGGAGGGCTCTCTACAGTGTCCCAGCTAAAGGAGGCTATTCAAGTCCACCTTCCAATTTTTATTTTTCTTTCTGAAACTATAAAAACCAAGTTTTTTACTGATACTGTGGCTAAGAAGTTGGGGTTTGCTGATAGAATTTTTATTGTAGAACCTGTTGGTTTAAGTGGAGGACTTATGTTACTATGGTGTGTTGAGGTAGAGGTTATAAGGGTTATACACTCAAATTTCTGTTTGCAAGTAGAATTCAAAATGGAGCGGACCAACACATTTGAGTGACTCATCCTTGTTTATGCAAGCACAGATAAAAATGCCAGGGAACTTCAGTGGAGAGAATTGGAGCAAAATAGGCTGATGTGGGGAGACATGTGGTGCATTGAGGGTGATTGTAATGATGTTTGTGGTCAGTTTGATAAAAGGGGAGGCAGAATTAGATCTGAAAGAAGCTGTGAAGGTTTCAACAATTTTATTGCTAATATGAGAATGCAGGAGATGAAAATGGATGGGTATCCATTTACTTGGGGCAATAACAGGCATGATGAAGGGTTTGTGGAGGAAAAATTAGATAGGGTCTTTGGATCACTGAATTGGTTGTCACTTACCCTGATGCTAAGGTGATAACTAGTTTCAGGAGTTCCTCAGATCACTCATTGCTTATTCTTGATTTTGACGGCTCAAAACCCAAAAATTATAAGAGGTTTGTTTTTTACAAAAGGTCGGTGAAAGCAGAGGGATGTAAGGAAGAAACAACAAAAGTCTGGGGCACATCTGTGGTGGAAACTCCAATGTATAAGTGTCTGAAAAAATCAGACATACTAGAATGGCACTTCTCAAGTGGAACAAGCTATGCAAACCAAAGAATGTTACAAGAATTGTTGAGTTGACATTAAAGCTTAAGGGGATGAGAGCTCTTAGAGGCCAAAGAAACTGGTTGAGTGGGTGTTTGTCCTATTTTTGTTATCTTTTTCTTTGTTTATTTATTAGTTTTTACCCCCGATTTTAAGTATCTTTATAGGTCTTTTGGTCCACTAGTCGTTCGTTTCGCGTGTGTGTCGTTTATTTATCATTTTCGATATTTTCTACACTTTTGTCTGCTTTTCGTAAGTTCTTCTTGTCTCTGGTGGTGTGCAGGTTTAGATTATTCGGCACGGGTTTAGAGAACAAAGAAACCCGAGCAGCTGTGTCCCATCCCACAACACAATTAGCCCGAGTCCACCGAGTTTCCAAACACCGCGCCGCGAGTGCACCCCGTCAGCAACAGAAGTCACATTTTCTGGCCCCGCGCCGCGAAAAGCGTCGCACCGCGGCGACACACCACCCTCGCGCCGCGATGGCCCCCCGTCTCGGACAGAAGCCTCTTTCTCTGGCACCACGCCGCGGCAGGAATCGTGCCGCGGAGAAACATCACCAACACGCCGCGAGGGTGCCGCGTCCCGAACTGCAGCTCAGCTCTTCCCAGGCGTTGCGCCGCGGCATGCATCACGCCGCGGCAAACTCCTCTACCACGCCCGTGATCGTGCATGTGCCGCGCCGCAGCAGGCGTCGCGCCGCCGCGCCGAGAGGCCCACAATCACAAGTCACCCCTTTGAGCCTTATATGATTTTATTGTCAACCTCGTGATGATGATGTTGAGTTGCGAGTTGTGAGTTGGAGGTGTTGGTTGATTGAATGGTGATGTTCATTTGATCTCATTTAAAAAAAAGGAAAGGGAACCGAATGGATTATACTCCTAGCGCTCTGTTCACTAATGTAGTGGATGCGAGCTATGAGTACGGGAAACCGGTCTAGGAGACTCGGGTAGACAACCCGAAGGTTAAACCTAGATAGAATATCCAGATGGTTTTCGCAAAAAAAAATAAAAAAATAGAAAAAAAATAATAAATAAAAATAAAAGGAATTGCTTGGGAAGTTGTTGATTTTGGAGTTCGTAGGAAGGAACCGGTTGGGGATTGACAACCGGAGGTGTTAGTGATCACGGTTGGTGATGGAGTTGAGTTGAAATTATTTTTATCTAGACACTTAGCCTATATGTATCCTACCCGACCCAAAGAACCTACATTACAACCCGAGAAGTCCTCTTGATTCATCGTTTCACATATTTGATTGTTTCAGAGTAAAAGATAGACAATAGGCAAACTTATGATTGAATGGGTTGACGACCAACTGCAGTGCACCCATTTTATACTTGCGTAAGAAACTGAGTGAGGCATATGATATATCTCCGTGCTCGAGTCTTTGTCATTCGAAATAACCGAGTTAATAGTTGAGGTGTGTACTCGTGATCATTTGAATTCTTCTTGACTTGATTGATTGGTTTGATATTTTTCTTGCTTGAACCGTTGTACTTGCTCGTTTGCTTGTTCTCTTCTATTTTCTTTTTGTTCGGGACGAACAAGGGTCTTGGTATGGGGGAGTTGTTTGTCCTATTTTTGTTATCTTTTTCTTTGTTTATTTGTTAGTTTTTACCCCCGATTTTAAGTATCCTTATAGGTCTTTTGGTCCACTAGTCGTTCATTTAGCGTGTGTGTCGTTTATTTATCATTTTCGTTATTTTCTACTCTTTTGTCTGCTTTTCGTATGTTCTTCTTGTCTCTGGTGGTGTGCAGGTTCAGATTATTCGGCACGGGTTTAGAGAACAAAGAAACCCGAGCAGCTGCGTCCCGTCCCACAACACAATTAGCCCGAGTCCACCGAGTTTCCAGACAC